GCGCGTCCTGGAGAACAGCACCCGCTGGCTGCTCAAGGTAGGGCTGCACCCGCGCCCTTCGCGCCCTGCGCCGCCGCCGCGTCCCGCCTCGGATGCAGCTCCCGCCCGAGCATTTTGGCCGGGGCTCCGTGGCTTCCCGGCTCTCCCGCTCCCGGGCTTTGCAGAAAGTCCCTGGCACTTGCAAACTCTGCGGGCGGCGGCGCTCGCCCTGTTAGCCCCGTGGGGCTGGGAGCTCGGGGCCTCGTGTGCCGCAGCGTGATTAGGGGTTGCGTGGGGCTCGTGCATGGCTCTGCGTCGTCTTTGTGCAGCCGTTTCTGCATCTCGCAGGGSAGAGCGGCTCCGGCCGCATCGCGGGATGCTTGGGAAGGGCTCCCGGACGTGGCTGAGGGCAAAGCTGGGGCCTGGGGACYACAGGGCGCTGCAGAGCACTGGGGGTCCCAGCTGGGTCCCCGGGCCCTGCACCAGGGTGCAGGAAGCGGCTCTTCCTTTCCGTGGTCCCTCCGAGCCGTTCCCTGACCCTGCATCCGCCCGCGGCCGCCTGCGTCACACCCAGGAATAGCTCCGGGCCGGGGAGCGGGTCCCCGGGGACCGCGGATATTGTGCAGGGAGCAAAGCTGGGGCCGCACGCAGGGGCCGGGATGGGGGCTTCGCTGCCACCATCCCTGTCTGTGGGTCCCTGCACCCTGGGGCCCCTGTCATTGGGTCCCTGCATCCCAAGATCCCTCGTTCTGGGTCCCTATGCCTCGAGTCCCCATTCCTGGGTCCCTGCACCCCGGCGCCGCAGTCCCGCTCTCCCGCTGCTCGTAGTGCCTCTTTTCTTTCGGTTGCTTTCTTTTCTTGCCTGGGTTTTCCTAATTTAGCTGGGGCTGCGCAGGGAGGCTTGTTTTGGTCGCGCTCCAGGCCTGAGCAAACACGCCGGGCTCCGAGGAGCCCTCGGGTCCGGCGCTGGGCTGTAAACAGCAGCGAATCCCGGCGGCCAGCGCGGCAGAGCCGCCGGCGCTGCCCGGCCTCGGCCCGGCTCCCGCGCCCCGCTGCCCCCGAGGGGCCGCATGAGGGGCTTTCACCCCCAAAAAGCGCCAGGAATTCCAGAGAAGCCCATTCCAGTCCAGCTTCGTTCCGGSCCCCCAGTGCCAGGCAGGACTTTTGCATGGACACCCGCTGCTCTGGGGCTCCCGGAGCCCATGGCTTTTTGTCCAAAGAACCTTGGATCCCTGCATTCCTGCATCCCAGCAAGATGTGCCAGGATTCGGGGCTCTATGCAGCCATCCTGCCTGGGAAAGCGGCATCCAGGATGGAATCGGAGGGCACAGAGACCCCTTCCCTCCCCAGCCTCACCAGGGCGCGAGGCTCCAGTGCTGGGATGGGGTTCATCCCGGATCCGCGCAGGGCCGGGCGCCTTTCCCAGCCCGCTGCGGCGTGGGAGGCTGCGCTTCCCGGCTCCCGCGCCAGCCCCTCGCCCCGGCGCCCGGCCGGATGGGAGCCTTGCAGCGAGGCGCGCTCGGAATAGCAAAGCCCCTGGGAGCGGCGCGGCCCGGCGGGCTGGGAAAGCGGAAGCCACAGCTCGTCTCCATTTGCTGCCCGCCTCTTCCCAGCTCCGGGGGCTTCCCATGCGGGGCAGCAGCTGGCCGGGGCTGGTGGCCACAGCGCAGGGCGGCAGCGCGAGCAGGCGCCGTTCCCGGCCCAGGCGCGCGGGAGCCGCGGGCATCGGGATGCTCCTCCGCACGGCACAGCCCACGGGCGGCTCCAAAGCACCACGAGAGCCATGGTGCTGGGAAAGCACCCGCCACGCTCCCCTCCCCGCCGGGCTCCGGGGGCTGCCCGGGCTGAGAGCCCCCGGTGATCCCGCGCGTCCCCCCATGCCGCCCGCAGCTGGAGAGCTACATCCAGGCAAGCGTGCGGCCGGAGGCGGCGCAGCTGCAGCGCGCCGCGGCGCACAACCGCACCACCACCATGCTGGAGATCGGCAGCAGCCTGCTCAACCACACGGCCCAGCAGACCCGCAAGCTCACCGACGTGGAGGCCCAGGTCGGCRCCTGCTCTACACGGGCAGGCATGCACGAATTCAGTGCATGAATTGATGCACGGTTTCATGCATGGTTTCATGCATGGGTGTGCAAGGAGACCCCAGCACGTGGGTTGCAGCAGGGTGTGTGCATAGTGCTGACTSGTGCTGATGTTGCCCTCGTTGCTACAGGTGCTGAACCAAACGTCACGCATTGAGCTGCAGCTGCTGGAGACCTCCCTGTCCACCAGCAAGCTGGAGAAGCAGCTGCAGCTGCAGACAAATGAGATCCACAAGCTGCAGAACAGGAACAAGTAGGATGCAGGGACATCCATGGATAGGGAGGCGGGTGCCCCGGGACGGGGATGGGAACACAGCGGCAGGGGGGCTGCAGAGCCCCTCGCCGCCAGCGCTGCCCTCCGCAGCGTGCTGGAGCTGCGCGTGCTGGAGATGGAGAGCAAGCAGCAGGCGGAGCTGGCGGGGATGCGCTCGGACAAGGAGCGGCTGCAGCGGCTGCTGAGCCGGCAGAGCGGCGCCGTGGCCGAGCTGGAGCGGGCGCTGGCGGCGGCGGGCGCCA